AAAAAGATTTGCTAATGAGTGAATATAAAAGCAGTCCACAGTCTATTTCACCAACCAGGCTTTAAGTAAGCTCTTTGAGGGTCTAGGCTTCATTACTCATCCTTGTAGCCCTTCCACAAAGCTGGTGTACCACAGGTGCTTAGACTATAGCAACAAAAGAGACCCATAGGGGAGTAGGACATCAGATGTCAATTTGCTCATTTTGTCTCTAACTTATGCAAAATTGAACTCCTCTGCTCTGCAAAGGGATGCGACTAGCTTTAGGTGAAATGTGTCCCTGAGGCGCAATCTGAGATGCACTGAACTAAAACATGGGGCAAATAGCTTATGGAGTGCCTTATTCTCTCTCTTATTCTAAAAACCTCCAAAGAGCCCATGATGTCCTGCTTGGGTAAAAGAAAAAAATAAGTGAAGAATGGAAGTAGAATTCAATAATATTAATATTCACAGTTGACAGCTGTGTCATGTTTGGTCTTTTTCTAATTTCTGTTGTTTTATTTCTCCTTCCAAGACTAACTTTCAGAGTTTCAATCTATTCTGGACATTTTTAACCTTCATGAAAATGAAACAAATTTTTATTATGTTCCTGCATTGTTCACAAAGGATACCTAAAGCTTGATCTTGCATAAAGATAAATTTTAGTGTTCATTCCATCACAGCAAAACACCAATCAGAGATTTAATAATTTAAAAGCCTATATAGATAGATAGATATCTGGAAAAAAAGTTGTATGCAAACATGTAAACATGCAAAACAAGACAATAACTTGTTTACAATCAACAGAGACAGGATTCCCTTATAGGAGAACAAAAGAACAAGTACCAAATCTAGACACTGTTCATGATTGTGGGGGAGATACTGACCTGAAGATAAGGTTTAAAGTGACAACTTTGACCTTATGAATAGAGATTATGTTTAAGAAATGTTTCCTTCAAGTTAAGAAAGACCATGGAAACTGACTTCTCTGAAAAGATGTGACATATATACATTTACCATCAGGCTCCTCCAGGGATTGGAACTCCACAGGACTGTCCAGATGTGTTGAGGACTGCTTGAAAAGTGTGGCCATTAGCTTGTTAATAGAAGTTTTTATTGTAATGAACTCCATGTAATTAAATTTGGGCCCTAATGATAATGTTTGTAGTAAAGTCCATCTCTATCTAGTCTTTTACCCCCTAGAAATGTGTCTTCCATGACTGCCAGAATGCTTCTGTATCTTATGATTCTTTAAGGATTATAAAGATAGTGATTGTGATCTATTTTTATAACTTTCTAAATGTACATGCTGTATGTATGTGCTAGAATTCTCCAAATTCCTGTTTAAGATACATCCTAAATACTAACAAATTATTAGCGTGATATCCACCAAAAATTTTACCAAGCTTTTACTCAGTAGTATAAACAGTTTGGTTGTGACATTGCTGTATTCCTCATATTCTAGAACATTCCTCCATTTCCCTTCACTTAGAAAACAATGTTAAATAAACAGACATTACACTGGAAATGGAGAAAACAAGCTTTATTATAATGATTTGAGATTTTGTGCATGGTAAAGAGATACATATGAATCTTGTTTCTCCTATGTTTCAAGACAAAGTTTTATTGTAGACTAAAGCATCCAAAATACTGTGGTACATATGTAGCTACGAACGTACAAACACTTTGATGCACAGCGTTCATTCTTTTCTTTAAATAGGCAGTCAATATTTTGAGTCATAAAAGAACAAATGATGAGAATATATCAGTATCAATGTCAGAGAGCGCAAGACTTAGTGTTCTATACACAAAACATAGGAAACAGACCTATAAAGATGGAATGTACAAAATCTAAAAAGAAAAAAAAAGGAAGCAAAAAAACCCTTCATACTCATACATAGGATTGAAAAGCTATAGAATTGAGAATGATATAAAGAATTTTATTACAAGAATACACTCCATGGATGACAGAACATTCCCATGTCATAAAGCAAAAGCACTGAGTTTAAGGCTGTGTTGCTTTCAAAAGTTAATGGAAGTGCTGTACATTCATTGGAACAACATAGCCAATTTATTAATCTATTCTAGAATATTAATTAATAGCTTTCATACATTCTCCACAAACAGACCACACAATCACTGCCACACGATTCGTCTTTAGAAAGTTTTTAAGATAGCATCATGATTTGTAGCTTACTGTCATTTAAAACAAAACAAAAATTTATTTATTTATACTAAACAAATCTTTAATGGGCACTTAGTTTTCCTTTATGGCAATACTAGATTCCTAGTTATCAAAAATATTAAAGTAATCATAAAGTTTAAAACCCTGCAACATTTACAGAAAGCAACAGTATTACGATTTTCGGTTTTAAGCAAAATTAGATAATGTTTGCATCAAACAGCTTCAATTTTATCCTACCTTGAAATGTCTCGTTTTTAAAGTAAACTAAAAATACTCCTCCCTTTTCAGAAGCTGGTGAGTAGAGAGGATACTATAGAGTCCAAATGTACAAAAAGATTTTTCCCATTTAATATAATCTGCAGGTTACCTGATGTTATTTACTATTTCCTCCAATTAACTCAGTAGGTATTACCAAAGCATTTACGTTAACGCTTCAGCGTTAAGGATCCACAGATACTTGCTAGTGCACTGCTATTCTGGTTAACTCCATGGTGGGACAACATACCCTGTATATTTAGTAGTGGAAGCAAGTGTGTTCTAGTTACATGGATCTGGAGTATTTATTTGCCTCAAATCTAGTCAAGAGTAAATTAAAATAGGAAACTTGGGAACTTGTTAAGTTCTGGAGGCTGAAGTTTGATCAAAATTCTAAGTATCATTTAAAAAAATGGCAAACAGTCATAAAGGCTTTGTATCCTGGATGGTCAAGTGACTCTCGGCCTCCCCATGTCCAGCAAGGGGAGTTCTGTATCAGGAGGGAATGCATCGTCACTGACCTTGAAATCCTAACTGGCAATATTTTGCCATAAGTGCCCAGGGGAAATCTGAATGAGTTATTTTTCAGTGCTACTTATCATGAATGTATGACAGGTTCTATACACTTGACAGAGAGAAATCAAACAACAATGGTAGCCCAGAAAAAAGCCACTTATTTTAATATCCTTCTCAGTTTACCAGAAACCATTTTCCATAGAATGCGACAAAATTTCATTTAAATTTTGTCTATTTGTATCTTATCAGCAGCACTTTTCCCTCAAAATATGGTGACCAAGAAATACAGTAAATGCACATATGTATCCAAATGTGAAATGTTATCTATACTATAACATATATGATTACATATTTTTTGGGAAAAATATAGTGTTTCCTGGAGTGCCCGTAGCATGTGTTTTAGTAACAGATAGTGGAACAGGTCTGAATTAAACTATTTTTTCATTCCAGTTTCTGCCAATATTGACATGTAAAAAAATTAGCTTTGTATTCAGTTTACTATTGAGATATCTAGACTGATATATGGCAGGTGGTTAGTTTATAAGTTAATTTCTAAGTTCACAGATATAATTTAAATGTTATGCAAAAAAAAAAAAACCTCTTTAAGTAAACTAGTTTTAAGATCAATAACCTGTGACAGAACCTAAACAGGAAGCCATTTTTACTCGTGAAAATAAACTAAAATTAATTTAACCAATTTAAAATTTTCAGCCGGGCGTGGTGGCTCATGCCTATAATCCTAGCACTCTGGGAGGCCGAAGCGAGAGGGTTGCCTGAGCTCAGGAGTTCGAGACCAGCCTCAACAAGACCCCCGTCTCTACAAAAAATAGAAAAATTAGCAGGACCTCGTGGCACGTGCCTGTAGTCCCAGCTACTTGGGAGGCTGAGACAGGAGGACAGCTTGAGCCCAGGAGTCTGAGGTTACAGTGAGCTACAATGATGCCACTACTGCACTCTAGCCCAGGCGACAGAGTGAGACCCTGTTTCAAAAAAAAAAAAAGTTTTCTTTTAAACAGTCTAGGAACTATCAAGAGCCTAGCTTATCTTTTATGCAGAATGTTAGTAAACAGCAAAATGAAATTCCCTCCGCAAAATGTATGCTCTCTGGGGGCAGGAATTTTTATGTGTTTTATCCATCACTGTAATCCCAGTGACTCCAGGAGTGTCTGGCACCTAGTAGGTACTCAGTAAATATGAATGTTTAAATTCAAAGACTTACTTCACTGACCTTAGTCAGTTTAACATTCTAAAAATGTTACTGAATTTTATAACTTTATCACAGGCAGGCTCAAATATTTTTAAAAACTCTAACTAAAAAAAAAATTGAACCTAAATATAAATCTTCCTGAAAAAAATTTTTTCAGAGGTTGATTTGGGCATCATAAATTTAATAGACAATTGGAAGTAGCTAGATTTCCCTTCTAAATTTTATCTAGAGAATGAATGAATTATAAATTAATAAGCAATAAACATCACATTCATATAATTATACATATGGGAAATGTTTTCATATAGTATAGTTCTAAGGTGCTTTCAGTGAAAAAGATCCTAAAGTCATTATTGAAAATGCCAAACATGACGTCCTATTTGGTAGAACTGAGTAGAAAATTAAACAGTGGAAATAGACCACATCTTATTTTATGTTACCAATGACAGATTAACAATTAAATTATTCTTAACATTTCTCAAAATGCATTTATATTTAGTTTAAATTAAACGTCACTCAAATTCAACTTTTCAGCCGGGCACGGTGGCTCATGCCTGTAATCCTAGCACTTTGGGAGGCCGAGGCGGGAGGATTGCTTGAGGCCAAGAGTTCAAGACCAGCCTGGGCAATAGCAAGACCCCGTTTCTACAAAAAATAGAAAAATTAGCGGGGCATGGTGGTGCACACCTGTAGTCCCAGCTACTCAGGAAGCTGAGGCAGGAGATCACTTGAGCCCAGGAGTTTGAGGTTGCAGTGAGCTATGATGATGCCACTGCACTCCAGCCCTGGCAACAGATCAAGACCCTGTCTCCAAAAAGAAAAAAAAAGAATCCAGTTTTTCTTTTGACCTTTTTTTCTCTCTTTTTTTGAAAGCACAGAAGGTCATTTTCTGACCAAAAGTCAGCCATCATTCCTGGAAAATGGCAAAAATTAAATCTGCTTTAGGGCTTGCTCCAGTAGGACGGCTTTAAACTACATAGTAAAGGAATGTGCTGAAGAATGGCTGGACAATGCTTCTGTCTTTCAGAGTGCTGCCTATTTCAATACACCAAAGATTCATCTATATATATAGATATATATATAAAATACATTCTATCTTACCCTAATCATGTATACATAGTCCCTTAACACCTCTACTATTCATTAAACAATGATAAATAACCATAACATGCCCTTACCTGTAATGCTTTCAAGATAACACAACTTTGGTAACACCTGCTTTCTAAGGGGAAATCATTAATCAATCACATGCCTTTGGTTGACACCATCAGTCCTCCAAAGGGCTACTTATGGCTCTCTGTCCTAGGATACTGGTGTCCTACTACATGTGCTGACATTTTGCAGGAGATAAAGCTTTCGCTTTCATGAAGTGGAAGATGAGAGACACATGTGAAAACATGGCACATAAAACGTGACTTTTTCTTGATTACAATCCAGTGCATTAATCTGGAGTTAATGGGGCAGTTTGTTTACCAAAAGGTAGCATTACTTTTGTAATATGCTTTTCAAAGCACTAGGAATTCCAGGTTTCCCTGAAGATGTACTTTGTTTTTGAACGCTAGGTTCGCAGGAAAGAGGTGGTGAAAACAACGCATGAAAACAGATCTTTGTCTAACCCAGAAAGGTTGGGAAATTTGCATTGATTCTTAAGTGCTAAACTCAAGAGGCCTGCTAATCAGAGCTGGGAGGATTTTGCAAGACAGCCTTACTTTTTCTAAAGTAATTTATATGTAGTTGTTGATAACCAAAAAATGTCACAAGAGTAATACCTACTGTAAAAGTGAGGTTAGAAGATTCCCTGGGTCTTGCGGCCTAGGTTAAATAAAGTATACAACTACAACAGATTTTGTTTCTGTTCTGTTTTTGGAAGCTCTCTGCAAAAGCTACCATTCACAAGATTAACAAATACCTTTACATATTCTAGTTTTTTTTTTTTAACATTTGTTTGATTTGCAAAATTAGTTTAACTACATAAATCCTGTCCTTTAAGCCATAGTTCACAGATGTAAAACTTTGCAGTTTTTATAGATTCAGTAGAAGAGGTTTGTTTTTTAAACCCTATAGGTGAATTATGGAAATTGTATAAGCAGTTTTTAAGGAATCTGTTACATTCAGAAATAACCTTGGAAAGTTCACCAATGATTCCTTCGAGCATAGAAAGTCTAGTCATAATCTGGTCCCGCGTTGAGAAGTCCATTCCAGTTTATAGTGCAAGGCCTTAGTACGGGTTGTCCATCATGACTGCCCGTCATTACTGTAAGTATCGATAGACCTTGAAGCAGTGATTCCCAGAGTCTGCAACCACAACATGGCCATCTGAAGTTAGGGCCAAGCCTTGGGGTCCATAGAGTGGGTCAGCAGATGTGTTAATGTAGGACAGAAATGATCCACTCCCATCAAAAACCTGTAAAAAATATGAAGTCAGAACGTTATAGGAGAAATTATAGTAATATGCTGAAATATGAGTTAGAAAACCCTTGATATTAATGTTTTTAATAAAAAGTATGTAAGTAACCCCCTAGGTTTGTTTAGGTCACTATCATATCTACAATCCTTCTTTCCACTTATCTTGCTTTTTCTCCTCTCCCTCTGAATGCCCCGTCGCTGGAGTAGAATAAGCCATTGGCTACCAGATAGATCTCCATCACTACTGTGGTCATAACAAGTATTTGGCTAGGAATGGCCCTGGATGGTGCTTGAAAAATGAATGACCCTTACTTTTCATGCTAAGCCTTCATTTTTTCCCCTTCCAGCCTCAAGTCTCCCTTTCATCCCTAATCATAAGAGAGAAAAACCAGCAACTAGACCAAGGAAGAATGGTCCTGAGTCATAATATGCAATAAGAGAGGGGTTTTTTTTCCCCTGTTCAGAAAAGAGTAACTTGTAAGAAGTCAATGGTTCAACATGTATAGTCATTTCTTGATATCCAGGGGGTTGGTTCCAGGATGCCCAAGGATACCAAAATCCACGGATGCTCAAGTCCCTTGTGTAGTACTTGCATATAACCTATGAACATCCTCCTGCATACTTTAAATCATCCGTAGATTACTCATAATACCTAAACAACGTAAATGCTATGATATCTTGAATTTTTTAAAAAATTTGTATTATTTTTTATTGTTGTACTGTACTGTTGTATATTTTATTGGTTTATTTTTCAGAATACTTTCAATCCTCAGTTGGTTGAATCCCTGGATAGAGAGGGCCAACTGTACATTTGGACATGAAATCATCTTCTTTTGGTCAGCTTTTGCTATGATGAAATAAAAGGAATAAATCCAGGCCCTTAGACTTCTTCATAAGGTCCAGGCTGGTTTCTTTTGGTCATTTTGTTTGGCCTACTTGGTGCTTTAAAAAGCAAATGTAACTAGGTAGGTGCTATCAGGGCCACAATGCAAACAGCTTAGCATCTGTGGTCCTGTATAGAACTGCTTTGTGAACTTAGTTCCCTGCCTGGCTTCTGACTTCTGTAGTATATCAGACCTTTGATATACTTCTCATGAGATATAGAATGTCTCTTTCAATGTAAATGTCCATCAGAATATTAAGACAAATATATAGAAGAAATAAAAACACTTGGTGTTACATTTATCATCTTTTTTCTTTTCTTTTTTTTTTTTTGAGACAGAGTCTGGCTCTGTTGCCCTGGCTAGAGTGCCGTGGCGTCAGCCTAGCTCACAGCAACCTCAAACTCTTGGGCTCAAGCGATCCTCCTGCCTCAGCCTCCGAAGTAGCTGGGACTACAGGCATGTGCCACCATGCCTGGCTAATTTTTTCTATATATATGTTTTTAGTTGTCCAGATAATTTCTTTCTATTTTTAGTAGAGACGGGGTCTCGCTGTTGCTCAGGCTGGTCTCGAACTCCTGACCTTGAGGGATCCACTCGCCTCGGCCTCCCAGAGTGCTAGGATTATAGGCGTGAGCCACCGCGCCTGGTGCCACCGCGCCTGGCCTATAATCTCAATTCTTTTTCTGACAAGTAGATACCTATACAGGTTGAGTATCCTTAACCAAAATGCTTGGGATCAGAAGTGTTCTGGATTTCACATTTTTTTTAATTTTGAAATATCTGCATATATATAATGAGATATCTTGGGAACAGGACCCAAGTCTAAACATGAAATTCATTTATGTTTCATATACACCTTTCCACATAGCCTAAAGGTATATTTTTAATAATTTTGTGCATGAAATAAAGTTTGTATTAAGTACTTATGTGTGGAATTTTCCACTTGTGGTGTTACACTGGCACTCAAAAAGTTTCAGATTTTGCAGCATTTTGAATTTCAGATTTCTGAATTAGTGATGTCCAACCTGTATCAGATTTGAACTGCTAATCATTGCTGTCCTCACAGGGACATCTGAATGCTGCTAGACTTAATCAGTGCACTCTGGGTTCTTAGGTGCACAGAATACGGCCACACTGGCAAGGATGAATAATAGCACCTGCTGTAAATGCACGTTTAGAACAATGAAGGTGTATACACAGAGAAACGGGAGATAAGAATAGTCTTTCTTCAACTGGACGATTTTAAAGGTTTGCTCTTAATTCAGAGTAAAAATCAAAATTCTCTTGTGCCATAGATCCCTTTGGCAATCTGGCAAAGACTATAGGCCCTATCTCAGAATTGTGTTTTGTTTTTTTTTTTTGAGACAGAGTCTCGCTCTGTTGCCCTTGCTAAAGTGAGTGCCGTGGCATCATCCTAGCTCACAGCAACCTCAAACTCCTGGGCTCAAGCGATCCTACTGCCTCGGCCTCACGACTAGCTGGGACTACAGGCATGCGCCACCATGCCTGGCTAATTTTCTCTATATGTTTTTAGTTGTCCAGATAATTTCCTTCTATTTTTTTTTAGTAGAGACGGGGGGTCTCGCTCTTGCTCGGGCTGGTCTCGAACTCCTGACCTTGAGCGATCCATCCGCCTCAGCCTCTTAGAGTGCTAGGATTATAGGCGTCAGCCACCGCGCCCGGCCTTTTCCTTCTGTTCTAATACAAGCATTTAGTTCTATTGATTTCTCTCTCAGCATTGTGTTTGCTAAATTCCACAAATTTTGATATGTAGTATTTGCAGTTTCATTCAGTCCAACACATTTTAAAATTTTCCTTGAGACTTACTCTTATTTAGCATAATAATATATTAAATGCATAAAACAAAATACATGGGATTATAAAGAAAAACAATCATATTAAAATACAGTTATTGGCCAGGTGTGGTGGCTCATGTCTGTAATCCTAGCACTTGGGGAGGCCCAGGTGGGAGGATCACTTGAGTCCAGGAGTTCGAGACCAGCCTGAGCAACACACTGAGACGCTGTCTCTACAAAAGATAGAAAAATTAGCTTGTCATGGTAGCGCTCGCCTGTAGTCCCAGCTACTGGAGAGGCTGAGGCAGGAAGATTGCCTCAGCCCAGAAGTTTGAGATTGCAGTGAGCTATGATGATGCCACTGAACTCTAGCTCGGGCAGCAGAGCGAAACCCTGTCTCAAAAAAAAAAAAGTTATTAAAATATTACTAAATTATGATATAGTAATATGGGTATTTTTTAAAACTAGTACATAAAACAAGAAATAACAATGGATTTGATAACCACTATAATTTTGAAGTAGTGATGAGAATTAATAATTTGAGATGTCTGCCACAACTAATACAGATATGAAAATTTCTGTGATTGTGGTTACAAAGTCATAGGTATTACTAAAATTATTGTGCTTGTTCCTATATTCATAATTAAAGGAAATGATAATTTTCTGCTAGAGGCTAATAAAAATAATAAAGTAATATTTTCATTCAGTGGCCCTCTTGAATTCTATCCTCAAACCCTTTGGGGGTCTGTGGGATCTATGTTAAAACCCCCAGAGTTAGAGGGTTTCACTCTGGTAATATGCTGTCTTTTTTCTACTCTTTCCTGCTTAGTTTGGTCTTTCTGATGACATTATCCAGGATCTTATGATCTAACCAATGGAGAACAGAAAACATTCCAATCTGGGGGACAGCCAGTTCTTCCCTTTTAGCAAGTACCAACCACTCTAACCATGTACATTAGCATTTACTGTACCTGGATCCTGCTGTTCCCCCAGTCTGCTACAATGATGTTTCCATTTGCATCCACTGCTACGCCTGTCGGAGCATTAAACTGTCCATTTCCTTCTCCATTTGAGCCAAACTTCAACATGAATTCTCCTTCCTGATTAAACACCTATATGAAATATTTTAAAATTATTTTATTTTAAATTAAAATAGTTGAACCAATATTATGGATTTTTAAAATATCTATTTGAGCAGGTTGTTTATCACAACACCTATGATTTAAGTCATTCTTAAAAAAGAAAAAAAATCTACAAACTAGACCACACTATGATTTGTTCCTCCCCAATTTACTGTATAAATCTGATTTATCATTTGCTGAATCACCACTTCTCTTTTTCTGGCCCATATCTAGTTATTAAATACTTATGTGAGAAAGACTTTTACTATAAATTATAAAATACTAGACAAATACAAGGCAAATATAGACAAATACAAGTAGAGCTATAATTTTCAACGATATTATTCTTTCTGCCTTTAAATAAATAGCTAAATTTCAAGGATGAGCATTATATTTATATTTGTAACAGGATGGATGATCATTCAAAGTTGGATCAGAAAGTAGGAGCTTTTTGCTAGACCCAAGGCTCACAATTTATTACCATTTGACTGCATCAATATAACAAGAAAGAGTAAGCTGGACTTCATGCTTACACAGGAGAAATTCATTGCGTGTGTGCGTGCACATGTGTCATGGCAGCAGGTGACAAATAAGAAAAGGGCTTTTTAATTTACCCTCAGAAGATATTTTAATTAAAATAGAGAGATTATAGATTCTAGGCTTTGATGGATAGAGCCTACTGAGAGAGGAGAAGCTGTTAGAGGTGAAGGGCTAAACCGAACTCCTATACAAATTCCCTACCTGATATAGTCAAGCAGTGGGAGGCTGTGGTTAATTAAACATTCTTGTTAGTAGAGCATTACTCTCTCTATACATATCCAATACAGATTACTGATGGAGAGAATTGAATCTTAATGTGTATAATTAGACGGCACTACTGTAAGCACATAGTAAGCATAATTTTATCTTGATTCAGATGATACCTAATGTTTCCAGGACATCATTTTAAACTTGCCTTATCATAATACCTAGATGCACAGAAATGTCATTAACAAATCAAAAAGTACTATGTGCAAGGCACCTGGAGAGTAAGGGCTCCTCAGTTGCGGAACTAAAAGCGTTCTCGCTGTATTTGAACATAGGTCCAATTTGAGGACGATCTCAGGACCTTTCAGAGATTCTCCTATTGCCATCTCTCATCATGAAAGATTAAAATGACTAGTTCTTTTAGCTAAGCACATTGGGAAAGTAGGACACTTCCATCTCTAAAGGATAAACTTACTCTAAGATGAAGAAGAGAAAAAAGAGTCATGACCACCTTCTGAATTAATTGCACACTTGCCAAATAAGCCAGCTACCTCTTTGGTTCTTTAGAGAGGACAGAGACAAGAACAAGCCAGCTTTTACTAAGATGCCATGTTTTAACATCTTTCTCTGACTCTTTCTGTCCTCTTGTTGATAAAACATTCTAGTTTTAAACACCAATGGAAGTGTGTTTATGCTGGTGAGGACACAATTTATTATTCTCTGATCTTTCTGTTATTGGTTCCTACAGATAATCTTTTGTTTGTATTTATCTTTCTGGGTCAGTATGTTTTCACTGGCATCATACAAATTGTTTAAGTGCTCCTGCTTCATTTTGGAATAATGGAGAATGCCAAATCTAGTCTTGTTTTTCCATGAAAAGAAACTATAGGCCGGGCGCGGTGGCTCATGCCTGTAATCCTAGCACTCTGGGAGGCCGAGGCGGGCGGATTGTTTGAGCTCAGCAGTTCGAGACCAGCCTGAGCAAGAGCGAGACCTCGTCTCTACCAAAAATAGAAAGAAATTAATTGGACAGCTAAAACTATATAGAAAAAATTAGCCGGGCATGGTGGCTCATGCCTGTAGTCCCAGCTACTTGGGAGGCTGAGGCAGTAGGATCGCTTGAGCCCAGGAGTGTGAGGTTGCTGTGAGCTAGGCTGACGCCATGGCACTCACTTTAGCCAGGGCAACAAAGTGAGACTCTGTCTCAAAAAAAAAAAAAGAAACTATATTCTGCATATAGCTTAAAAAAATTAGTGAGACTACTTGTTAGCACTGACCTGTCGGTATGTTTTTTACATTTACCAACAGACAAGTGACCTGAATTCGGAATTATTGCTAACTGCCCAGTATTACATGGGAAACAAAAGCCCAGTTATTCCATAAAAGTTACATGGCAATAGCTATTAAAAAGAAGAGGAAAAACAAAAAGGCTACTTTCTTAAATAAGAGGACAATTGAGCTTAAATAATCTGCTTCTACTGTACTGAAAACCTGAAGAGTTTTCAGAATCTTAAGAATTATAAATTTCTCACATTTTCTATTTTTCTCACCTAAAATGCCATTTAATTACTTAAAAACTATTCAGATGAAAACATACTAAGAGGCAGAAGTATGAACTGAAATAGTTTTTCACAGCTTTGGTTTTTATAATATTTCAAGTAAGTTTTTAAAATAATCTTGATGATAATCCTTTTTTGATTTCAAAATTCTGCTCATGACATATACCACTTGGAAGTTTTTCCTGATAGTTTTAATTATGGAAATCTTCTCTTTTCTTCTGGAAACTTATAGAATTTAATATGTACCTATTTTTATGAAACCATTTATTGCTATGTGCCTTGCATTCTCGTTACTGACATATATGTTTTAATTCTTTCTGCGGTGTCAGCCAGGGCAGGTAAATAGTGGTCCCACATACCCACGCCAGTTGATTCATAGAGGTTGTCTGGCACACTGGACAGGAAGGGCTCTGAGGCCACAGTTGCACTTAGTAGAAAAGAGCAACTCAATTAATTATTACTGTCTTTCGGTGGCAGGTGAGCAGAACCGATGCCAGGCATTTGCTCTGTCAGGATCTATGTGGGTTTTCTTCTTGTTCAATGGCCAGTAGTAAAATGAACGATTCCTCTATAGAGTGAGCGAGGGTAGGAAGTATGAGAACAGCTTGTGTTATCCTTTCATAGTTGTGCTTGTTCTACAGCGACAGCTCCCTGGGAGGACGGTCCCAAGCTCAGTTCCTGCTGCCTCTTTGCTCTCTATTTCCATCCTCCTTTGCCCATGGGGAATCTTTCCCACTGTCCCATTCCTATTACCAAGACACCTCCCATAGAGAGTGGTGTCCTCAGAGAATGCAGCTCATCAGAGTGGGCATAGGGGGGACTCTACCACTGTGCTAGCAACTCTGGACAGACAAGACAGCAGGGAGCAGCTTCAGAAGAAAGCAACAGTAGGCACCTTTTCCCTCAACCTGCCCCCATTCCTGTGGTCCCCTGTGCTCTACTCTTTGCACAGGGACTTGGCACCCATCTAAAAGGCTCAAGGTCTCTCCATTTAATCAGGTCAGAGATATCTTCCAGCAAAAGCTAAGGAACTGAAGAAGTGAAAGGACTTAGAAGAGAGAGTACCTTTGGGTGTTAAAAATCCTACTCTTTGTCTAGCTATTCCAGTTGTCAGCACTGATAAGTCATATTAACTTTGGTTGTTCAATGGTTGTCTCTAAGTGCAAGCTTTAGTCATTGGCATACCATCCTATGCTGTTTCCTTATTATTTTTCCTTTAAAACGATTCACTTTAAAAAATTCAAATGAACGTATTTATAAGGAAAACTTTATTTCACTTCTATAAGTGCAAAACAGTATTGCTTGATGTAAACAGAAGATAACCCTAAAAGTAAACACATAACTCTTAAAATGTCTGCCTGGGCACTGCCCGTGACTACCTGGCATATACCCTCAGTGGAACATGCATCACACCTTCAGAAGCTTGGTCTAGAGTATTACTAATTTTCTCATCATTTCAGAGAATGAGTAATTTGTTTTGAGCCACTTTAATTATTTCCTGATTTTCTCATAATAAAGTTCATAACCAAGTTCTCATAACCATAACCAAGTGCTCATAACTAAGTTCTCCCTTGGTACCGAGTAAGAAGGATGTACTATATTATTAGAAGAGGTCACTGTTTTCTAAATAACACCAAATGTATGAAAACATTCTAAGTATAAAATATACTATGTGAATGTATGCTAGGGTTACTCCCACTCCCCTCGTCTGTTGTTGTATCAGAGTTCTAATATCTAATTTTGTTTTAAAGGTCTTATCATGCAGAAAATTTAAAAAGTGATTTTCTTTTAATCTATTGAATAGCACAAAATATTACGTCTTACAAAGTTCTACCTCTAAGTTCAAGCAATTGTTTTTTTTTTTATTTTATTTTCAAGTCCCTTCATTTACACCAGTTTCAAATTAAGAAACATATTGTCACTATATTTTGTACAGTTTCCTGACTCGCCAAAGTCTGTGTGTCCAAATTAAAACCTGTCTCCTTTAAGCAGAAGCAAAATCTACTCTTTTAGGCTAACTCCCTTTGGTCCTGTGTGTATATGTAAGTATTACATTATTTTCTCCCAGACTGACTTCTCCACAAAAGCATTTAAAAGTTAACTGATGTGTTTATAATACCTTGACGGAATGATTATGGAAATCTGTAACAATAATCTCATTATTGCTATTTACAGCTGCAAAATGGGGACCTGCAATAAAGATGGAAAAAATATGTGATGACTACAACAACAAAAGTGATTGCAACAACATAGCAGTTACTATAACAAAAACCAAACAATGTATTTACTTAGTTATTTAAGAAAAAACAAAGATTTATCGACTCAGTCCTTGAAAAATCATTCAGCCAGACCTCTGGCTCCAGATAACATGGATCCTATATTATTCTACACTTGCGACTGTCTACTCTGACTTCTTCCAGATCAAGCCAAGAGTTCTAGCAGCCCTAATGAAGTGGGATGAGCAGTAAGCATCAGAATTCATGCTCTGTACCGCCATCTGAAAGCCACACCTGCCAGCTTCCCTGAATATGTGTTTTAGGGCCCTTGGCTCCCACTGAGGAAAGACATGGCAACTCTTAGCATTGGAAAAAGACTCCAATATATAATTTTAAAAAAAAAATTGAGCAGAAAACCCACAATTTATAATTTTGGGTGACATTCAGAACTTGGCAGAACTGGAGACAAAGCATAAAGAAAGATTATGCAAATTAATATTAAATGCCAAAAGCATCCCTTTAAAAAGGAAATTAATAAACTGTTTACAGCCTTTTCTTGCAGATATGAAAAGCTAAGTAAGGTTGCAATTGCAAAGTTGTACATCAAAAAGAGCAGTAAAACAGACTGTCCTCCCTGTACTCAGCGAATATTCTGAACTATTTTCTTATAATAAGCTAGCAAGGTGAAAAAAATTCTCATTCGGGGCTCTTTAAATAAAGCTACAGGTAGGTGGAAGCAATGGAGTTACTTCATTGTTCCTCAAATATTTTTATTTCAAAAATATTTTTAAAAATGTATATTTTATTTAATATGAACATTTAAAGATTTCTCAGTTGTAAACGTCCACCAATAAAGACCACACGCGGTTTGCATTTCAACTTACTGCCAGTGGGGTCACTGAGAAGCACCTAACCATGCTTTTGCTTAGATATCATCCCCAGCATCGTTCCCAAAGCCAGCAAACACACCAGGGGTGCAGTGTCTTCGACATGCTCCAACATCATGCAAATGTGAGCAGAAGAAGCATAAAAAAGGGGGTTTACATATTACCATCGAGTGTACCTGCAAACTGCCTGTCCCCATTTCCTCGGCTACCAAACCTGGTGACTATTTTCCCGTTTGGCTGGAAGATAAACACGCAGCACGCCTTGTTGTCCACCACAATAATGTGCCCATTGCGGTCCACAGAAACTCCTTTGGGCCCCATCAGCTTTCCCGATCCAATTTTTGTCTGTTAGAAACAAGGGCAGAAATCAAGTACAGATATCGAAGTTTAAACATGAAGATAGTAAACATTTGCCTGAATGTCCAAAGAGGGGAGCACAAATACTCATAGATCACAATGATCTTCTGTCTTGGGAAACTGGCTTTGTCATGTGCATTATCTGCTACTGATTCTATATGAAATCCTTATTTCTAAAAGGGCTCAAAAATGTTCTAGATCCCCTAAACTGGGGTCACAATCCCTCCTAAAGAGGCAATGTGGTACAGTGAAAGACCACTGGATTAGGAGTCAAAAAACTGTCCTACTTATGTCACTTGCTTTAAACACACCCTGAGATAGCACAAACAGATTTAGGTTCCTTAAACTTCAAGTTCCTTATATATTAAAAAATGTCAAAAAAAAAAAACCCACCAATAACTTCCAATAGTATTTTTAGAATATGTATTAAATAATGTAGATGAAGGGTTTAGTGTAGAGTATAGCACATAGCAAGAAGTCACCAAAGGAAACCATCATTGTCATTGTTTTATGTCATAATTGATATTAAAATTGCCAGGCATCTGCCATTGAACTTTAATAGAATTAAGTTCTGCATGGGTGAGAGTCCGTTTTATCCAGCACTGTGTACTTGGAGCCAACACAGTTCTTGGTGCATAATACATATTCAACAAATATTTGTTGCATATATAAATTTTAAAAGTCTAGCATTATAGGGCAATCATGATGATTAAATGATTCCACTTTCACAGTATTTTAAAATGAGATTAAAGCATTAGATCTCTATCAACCATATACCATAAGCATTTTAAATTTTATTCATATTCCTGAGTAGACTATAGTGTATATATACATGCCTATTGACCATGAGATGCAGGTCTTACGTCTTTACTTTTAGTTCTATAGCTTCATTTTCTAGAATACTTATAAAGTACTTCACTCATTCACCTGTGTACTAATTCTACAAACACTGTCTGAGTACCCACTATGTGCCTGACATTGTGTTCTAGGCACATGGTAAACAAACACAAATTAGATGTAGCTCCTGCCCTCAAAGATGTCTCAGTCCCACTGCAGAGACAAACATGTCTACTGTACCCTTTTAAAGTGCCCAGCCAGGTGTGGTGGCATGCTCCAAAAATCCCAGGACTTGGGAGGCTGAGGTAGGAGGATTGCTTGAGCCCAGAAGTTTAAGACCAGCCTGGGCAACAAAGCAAGACTTTGTCTCAATAAAACAAAAATTACAAAATAAAGTGCCTGGTATTGAGTCTTCAGTTTAGTAGATTCAGGGGAATTCAAATAGGCCGTCTCAGAAGGCATGTGGAAAAATAACTCGATGAGACAAGTCACTGTGGACAAGGAAGAAGAAGGAGCACCGAGGTGAGGAACCAGCAGGAAAGAATGCACGTTAAGTCAGGTAAACTGCAAGAACCACAGCCCTCCCTGGTGCCCAGGCTTAAAGTGTCAGAGGGGAGCATATCTGTATGTGTTTTCATGGAAGGTCTCTCAAATATATTACTGAACAAAGGAAGGTACACAACAGTGAGTACGGCCTGAGTCAGTGTGTGTTAAATGTGTGCATATATGTACATAGACATCTAGAAGGAAAAGTGAGAAACTAGTGTCTATATTTTAGAGAGTAGCATTAGTGGTGACAGGAGAAAGCCTTACTTTTCATTTTATACTTGTTTGTAGGCTTATTTTAAAAATCTGTTTGCATGTATTACATTTTATATTTTGATTTTTTATTTTTATTTATTTTTTAGAGACAGGGTCTCGCTCTGTCACCCAGGCTTGGGTGCAGTGGCATCATCATAGCTCACAGAGACCTTGAACTCCTGGGCTCAAGTAATCCTCCTGCCTCAGCCTCCGAAGTTGCTAGGACTATAGCACCAAAACACCCGGCTAATTTTTCTTATTTTTTGTAGAGACCAGGTCTCGTTATGGTGCCCAGGCTGGCCTTGAACTTCTTGCCTCAAGCGATCCTCCCACCTTAGCCTCCCAATGCACTGGGATTACAGGAATGTGCCACCACTGAGCCCAGCCATACTTCTGAAATTAAAAATTAAACCCAAAACAATTACATTTTTATAGGTTCTGCTTTAGCCCTCTCATTTTATCTTCATATATTAGTGCTAATAGAAATAGAGAAATATAATGTGAGCCACATAAGTATTTTTCAATTTTTGAATTTTCTAGTAGAGAGATGGAGATTTTCTCATGGTGGGGATTTAGACTTTGTATGATCCTTTATTCTTTTCAGTTTATAAATGACTGAGATTCAGATTTGATCTCTTTAGAGCAAAAAGACACAGTTACTTCAGAAGGAAACAATGGTTTCCTTGGCAAGGGAATCTGTTGCGTAAATTTGATTCTGGTTCTGCAATCTAGCCCAAAGATCAAAGAGGCTATAACCTAATGGTGTGTAAAGAAATGACATTTGTTCTTTCATGTCTGAATGGAAGGTATGTCAACAGAGATCAAAAGGAAGAGATGGCACTCTGATTATTAAAACTAGAATATTTTTACTACCTAACATTATGAACCCTGTAGTTACTTAGAATGACTCAATCATAAAACACTAAATGGATAATTAACTAGAATAAAAACAGAAAATAAAGGATTACTTCCATTCTATCATGTAGTGACAATTAAGGCAGATCTAAAAGAATAACTTAAATGTTGGACCAAAATTTCTTTTCCTTCCTCTTCCCTTGATCACTCCTAGTTTAGCTACACTGGATTCAACCAAATGAAAAATAAAAATCACCGCATCTGCCTGACTATGTGTCCCCTATCTTAAACAGAATAGTAAGCAAACATATTTTAGACACTGGTTTGGGGGCAGTTAAATCAGAGTATTTAACTCAACAAATAGGTTCTTAAATTGAAAAGGGAAGATATGAAATATTTTAGAATATGGTGGCCACAGGCCTCTGTGTTTGTTCTGATCACAAAAGGTTCCCAAATGGGCAGGAAGACATAAGTCAAGAGGAAAGATGGAAAGAAAAAAAATTAGAGGGTGCAGAGAAGTGAAAATTAGGGCTAAGAAATTGGTGAATAAAAGAGAGAGAAGGAGATAAGGTATTACATCTCTGGAACTATTAAAAATATTAATAAATAAAAAGAATCTGCATTGGACTGGTGTTAAAGGTATGTCTTTCTCAGCACTTGTTTAATTTTTACGAAGTCCCATCAAAGAAGAAAATAAGTATCTCTCAGTATATAGTTGTAGACATGCTACTTGGATAAACTCTCATTGTAGTCCTAAAGTGTTTTCATGGGCCTTCCTTTTACCCTTTGAGTTTCAATCAACAGCTATCATAAACAAGGGTATTGCTGAAACTACCATATCCATTCCCCCAATCCTCTAGGGGGCATGAGTGTTCTTCAGCGTCTCTTCCAATTATTACCAATAGTATCCCCACTTTAAGAATCTAGTTCTTCTAAGAATGTCTGTTATAGACTATTGAACCATTCGGTGAAAAAGGCTTAATTCAGAGAGCCCTTCTTTCTCAGACATAAAAATCCTGTCTCAATATGTGAAACCTAATTTAGTATTAGTTCCTGAATTTACAAAGACAGATTTATGGTTTCACTAGAGTATGAAACAAGAACAAATGGGTTGCCTCCAAACCAGATAAAAGTTTTCAAGATATTTCAGGCATGAATATTTTATTCATATTAAATTTGTCATATTTGGGTATGTCTTATCACAAATACAATTATGAAAACATAAAAGAAGGGGAAGGAGATAGAGATACAGAAAAGCAAGAGACCTTCTGTATACATGGCCATCCCATGGAGCCATTAAGTTTTTAGTGGAACAAAAAACCCAAGGGCAATTGAAGAACTGCATACAAAATCGAGGAATTAAAAATGACAGTTCTTTACTCTCTGAGATTGAGAAGATGCTGTCTCACAAAAAATACAGGCTCAAATCTGAGGGTTAACAATTATGTAAGTAACTCATTTCATTAAAAAAACGAGGTGACTACAGCAATACAAAGACTTGAAAAAGGAAAATATACATTCCTCCAATAAGAGATTAATGAGTGAACTTCGTATCCTCATTGAGTCTTTACTCAAATCCTGAGATAGATTTTTTTAAGTCCAAATTTGAAATATGAGGCAATCGAGGCTTCAGGAAGTTATAATTTGCTGATGGCCAAACAGTGAACAAGCCACTGAGCTGGGATTCCAACGGATTGATCTGAGTAAGTTTCTAGTAGGCTGCACAGGGGAAATAAGGCATCATGCAAATGGCCTTTAGAAAGATCTTTGACAGGTTTCTTACGATCTTCTTGTGAACAAATGTAGAAAATGGCCTGGATGATACAATTCTTTGATGATACCTTATAAGAGAGATTTATGTTATTAGTAAACGGCTCTCTACTCTTTGTTGACTTGCCGAAGAAATAGAAACCATTTTTACATTTCCATAAAGAGGATGCTGGGAGTGAAAGCAAATATGTCAAAAGATGCGATCCCTCAAAGTGTAGCGTAACTTGCATTTTTCTCTGTAAATTTGGCCTTCATTTTCTTTTTCTTCCAAATCTTATATTACATAGTTAAACATAATGTTTTCAGATTGTATCAAATAATTTATGACTGATTAGAAGCTGACATGAATTGTTTTCTGTCATTTCTTGTGTTAGTCTCTTTCCTAAAACGAGCTGTACATTTTTAAAAAGTGGGAACCACTTCTTATACTTCTGTTTCTCGTATATCATCCGTCACAGGCCTAAGAAAGTAGAAGGCACTTCATAAGTTGACAACTGGTAGATTAATTTGAGAAATATAAACTGCCTCTTAATAACCCTTTTCAAAAGATTGTGTTTTTCGTTGAATTGAGGTAACAGGACCAGTTTCCCCTCTAAATTTACAGTTAAAAAAAAAAAAGGCAAATGAGCAACCTAACTGCTTTATAAAATGAAGCCACATTTAGAATCTACATGAGTAGATTTATGAAATTATCCTTGTTACTCTTGCTTTATAAATTTAGATGTTAAGATGTCTTTGTGTATAAAAAACTGTTGAATGTTGTGTTGAATTTCAAAAAAGAAAAAGACAAGTCCATCTTGTATTTCTTGTTCCTTCTCTCTATTGTTTACTGGCCAAGTAGTAGTTAATCTTACCTTAAATTTCCCATCTGAAGAGAAGATGCTGACCCATTTATTATCATAATCTGCAATGATTATGTCCCCGCTGGGATGCACAGCTACTCCTGTGGGCCGCTGCAGCTGCCCAGGAGAGCGGCCTCTTATGCCAAAACGACTTTTGAACTGGCCGTCATTGGAAAATATCTGTAAGACAAATTGCATTCATTGGAATATGAACTAGCACAGAAATTGCTGAGGAAGATATAAGCAAAAACATTTGTCATATATGTATTAAAGGTCAGAATAAGCAAACTCTATTTGAAGAAAAGAATGTACACAGTATAAGCTTCTGTCCTTGCGCCATGTATCTTAAGTCTAAAATAGGAAAATATGCAACTATACCTATTTTACCAATATAAGTAAAGGTATATAATTAGGGACTATACCTGCACACATTGGTTGTTACTGTCTGCAATTAGTATCTTTCCATTTGTGGATGCAGCTACCCCCTGAAGATTTGTAAACTCTCCTTTATTTCTTCCTTTGGTACCTAAAATGAATAAGATCGCAGAAATTAAGCACTACAGAATTAGATTTCACAGTTTCAGCAAGAAAATAATTCAGGCTTCCATAGTAACCTGAGAAAGCAATGTTTTTAAATTTACTTAAAAAAAAAAGAAAAAGAAAACTCTCCCCTGACATGACCTAATCCATACACTACTAAGTAACTTCCCTTTCAGACCAATAGTCTTTGTAAAATCACTTTTTTAGGTAAACGCTAATCTTCTCTTATTAATTTCTTGCTGCATATTAACATGATTAAAACATACTTAGATTCCACAAAGACATTAATATGAAAATAACGTTTTACTAATAATAAAAACTAATATTTCATTCAAGGAGATTCAATAGGAGAGGGACTTTATTTTATAGTTTTGCCAAAATCCCACCCTCTCACTCAGCAGCTCTTAGAAGACACCTGGGTGCTTGACTTTCAGTGCATTTAACAAACCATAAGGCCACAGATGTTATGAAAATAGCAGGCTGATTTTCATATACTAGATATACTTATGCACTATTTTCAAAGATTCAGTATCTCACAGGCTGTGTATTCTTCCTGAAATTACAAAAGGCATCCTGACAGGGTGCTTTCTAGATTAAGAAAATAAGAAAGGCAAAAGGAAATTAATACAAGGAAATATTCTCATCCATACTAGACTCTTTTTTAAAGGAAGAGATGAAACAGGGAGAAAAAAAGCAGAAGTATCTACAGGTTAACAGACATCTGTTTTTGTTTCTAAATTAGTTTTTAAAATTTATTTCCATAGGATGGTGTAATATTAATGGATGGAAACAGAATGAATTTTGCTCAGAAATGAGTAGGAAGGAAGTTTAAATTTTCATAGAGGGAGAAAACCATGCGTTGGTTTTATAATTTTCATATTCAGAAGAGAAATTTGATATTTTGTTTGTAGACATCAGTGCAGTGCCTTAGGAAAGAGTAGACAAGGGTACACTGATGGTGTCTAATGGCAAACACACGCTTAAGCACTACTTGGGAAGAGATTCTTCTGAAACAGATTTTTCGGTTTAGAAAGAGAACTTGGCAATAGATTAAACTCAGAATAAAATTAACAACAGAATTGCTAGGGAGAGCCATCTTATGGTAGCTTTTTTTTTTTTAAATCATGGACTCTATCAAGTTTACTCACAATCTCTGTATCCCATCTACTCTCACTAATGTGAATGACAAATTTGAGATCAAATACTGTTCTATTTTTTATTTTAAATTTATCAGGAGAGGATCTGTTACATTTGATCCAAATGGAATCCATATAATACTATGCATGAACATGGTATCAGTGAATACTTTTTAATATATTTACTTACTTAGAGATAGGGTCTTGCTCTGTTACTCAGGCTGGAGTGCAGTGGTGGGATCATAGCTCACTGCAGCCTCGAACTCCTGGACTCAAGTGATCCTCCTATCTCAGCCTCCTGCGTAACTAAGACTACAGGCACTAATACCTTTAGAATGTTTATTATTATGGCCAAATTAGAAGAAGGGTAGCTAAAGACAAACTTATTAAAAACAATAAGAAGTAGGCCAGGAGCAGTGGCTCATGCCTGTAATCTCAGCACTTTGGGAGGCCGAGGCAAGAGGATTGCTTCAGGCCAGGAGTTCAAGGTTGCAATGAGCTATGACTGCCCCACTGCACTCTAGCCTTGGTAACAGAGCAAGAACCTGTCTCTTTAAAAAAAAAAAGGGGGGGGTTAGTGTGGGCAAGCCAGGGTCTTTTTTAAAAAAAACCTTAATTTAACTTATCAAAAACATTTATAAACAAAAGCATGGAATTCAGGAAGATGAGGAACTGAGGATCAATTAAAGAAACATAATAAAAAGCAAGAGTCTTCTAAGATTGGAACATAAACCAAAGGGGTGACTCTGTAAAGAAAACCCAGGCTGTTCTAGATCCTTGCTTTTGTAAAGTTGGAGTGCACTCATGGCTTAGAGGGCATGCAGGTAGGGGGAAAGAAATACTGCAAATAAAGAGAGAGGAGGCTGAGAAGCACCTGAACAGAGTAAACAAACTGTTCTTCTGGTCCAGGTAGGGACAAAACTGCCTCCCGCCCTCCTTTGTTTAGCCTTTGGTCTATTCTGCTAAGGACAGAGCGTATTCTACTCAGAGAAGACTCTGCGGGAAGCAGCAGCTGATGAAAGCAAAGGGAAAAACAAAACTGGAGAAAACAGTGCTTCAGTACTAGTCAGTGGGGTGCCTGAGTCAAAAAGATTCCATTTTCCTTCTGAAAATATGGAGGTGATGTCAGAGGAGGGAAAATATATGAGCAAAAAATACTAACGTTTGTTGTTCTTTGCAAACACACATTTTTGAGTGTCAGTAGAAATGGGAAATAATTGTATTTTGGGGGACATTAAAACTTGGGAAGACATTTAGTTGGAATCCATAGTAATACCATTCAGAGCAAGGAGAAGGAAGACTCTATGCCCAGCTTGAAATGAACGTGAGACGCTCAGCACCTGCCAATACTAGCTCACGATGGCAATGGGCTACGTCACCAAGGAATACACTGCTGGAAGAGGTCCTACAACCTGTGCTGTGCTCAAGGGCCATGTGTTGGCCCAGCTCTCATCCTAGGTCTCCAGGTAAGGAGAGTTTGAGTCTGTTGCCCCCCATGTAAATAAAAATCACAGGGATGGAGGAACATCTGTTTGTCTCACACTGCTTATGTATTTTTAAAAGAGGCTAGAAGAAACAGGCACTGCTATTTTAATTTTATAGTATTTGTTTTAAAAATCTTTTCTTTTTTTCTTTTCTTTCTTTTTTTGACACAGAGTCTCACTCTGTCACCTGGGCTAGAGTGCCATGGCGTCAGCCTAGCTCACAGCAACCTCAAACTCCTGGGCTCAAGTGATCCTCCTGCCTCAGCCTCCCAAGTAGGTGGGATTACAGGTGTGTGCCACCATGCCTGGCAAATAATTTTTTCTATTTTTAGTAGAGACAGAGTCTTGCTCTTGCTCAGGCTGGTCTTGAACTCCTGACCTCAAGCAAATCTTCCCTCCTCTGCCTCCCAGAGTGCCTAAAAATCTTTTTCTTTAAGCCATTGTGGCTCAGTTTCTGAATAGCTGGGCTGGCATTGCTGGTAACATCCCCTGATTCTTATGAGCATCTTTTTATCTTGTTGAATGATAATTATTGATCATTATTTTTTTAAAATACTCTCTTTGAAAGCACACAGCAGGATCACAGTGTCACTCTGGGTGGTGAAAGGACACCACCAGCTTACTCTTGAAGGACGATTGATGCTGACTATTTTCACTAGCAGTTAAACTACAAAAACCTTGATGATGAGTGATGATGTAGAATGATAGCGCATTGTCATTATGCTGAAATGTTCAAGTGTTTATAAAGTGTCTCGGAACCAAAATGACATAAATTTAAATTCCACAAGTTGGAAATAATTTGGGTTGTTGCTTTACTCTTCAAGATTTTTAGTAAATTCTATTTAGTCTGTAGAAAAGTCTCTTCTTTCTCTCTCTAAAGTATTCCAAATATATAATTAAAAGTAGTTCTTTCATAACAAATATAAATGTAACACAAGACACATACAGTACTTACAAAATCTTTTCCTGTCTACTTTGATGTAAAAGACTTCATTTGATGGTTACATACTGGCTAGTAAAATGAATAACATGAATTTTAAAAGTAATTATAGGCCGGGCGCGGTGGCTCACACCTGTAATCCTGGTACTCTGGGAGGCCGAGGCGGGTGGATCGCTCAAGGTCAGGAGTTCGAGACCAGCCTGAGCAAGAGTGAGATCCCGTCTCTACTAAAAATAGAAAGAAATTATTTGGTCGACTAAAAATCTATATAGAAAAAATTAGCTGGGCATGGTGGCGCATGCCTATAGTCCCAGCTACTTGGCAGGCTGAGGCAGTAGGATTGCTTGAGCCCAGGAGTTTGAGGTTGCTGTGAGCTAGGCTGACGCCACGGCACTCTAGCCCGGGCAAAAGAGTGAGACTCTGTCTCAAAAAAAAAAAAAGTAATTATAAATAATTCGGCAATAATTTCATGAGATAATTAAACTAATTCTTTCCAGATACTAATCCAGCCCATGAAGCACAAAATGAATTTTTAAGCCAACAGCTTCTCACCTAGGTTCCTTTTGGTCACTTCCACCCAGCTCCTCAGGAAGGTTACAGAAGTAAAGTGAGCCCTTAGGCCGAAAAAGGGGATCCAGAAACCCAGATTTTCTCTTATCACATACTCCAACTTAATATAAAAATGCTAAATAAATCTAGATACTTTGAATGGACTAATGCAACAAAATGAAACTGAGCCAAGTATAGGCTCTAACACAGGATCTTCATCCAAGCAGGTGCTTAACAAATGTTTGCTGAATGAATGAGTGCAAGAACGAGTTATTAGCGACTGACCCAGTAAATTACAATCCCCATTACATCATGGGAAAACACTGTTCAGTAAGATTCATAGCACTTTCATGTACCTCATGTACAATCCCATGAGTTAGCAGGGAAAACATTATCATTCCCAGTTTATAGATGAGAAAATTGAAGCTAGACACATCACAAAGGTAGATACAAAGAAAAGAATAAAATCTGGTTCTGCTGACCCTTTATATACATTCTTTCTAATACACACACACATTGCTTCTTTCTAATTGGACTTTAAAATGCCAGATTTTGGAGGTGAGGATAATTACCCTTTGGGTACACATGGATCATGTTTCTCTTTAAAATCCTTTAGAAAACCCACCCCTTATCACATGATATTTTAACTGTTTAACTGTCTCTATCCCTCACTAGACTGTAAGCTCCCTGAGGGCAGGAGCACATCCGTCCTGCTCACTGTTGCACCCAACAACACAGCACAGTGCCTAGTACTCAGCAAATATTAATTGCATCTTTTTCCACTTGAAATACGAGAAGAGCTCCCAAGGATGAGATCCTCAAGGGGTAGGGGGGAGGTTCCTATAAAGGTCACTCAGATGCCAAATTAGCATAGTCT